ACATAATAGTTGAGAAACAATACCTGGCCATCATACCATCCTGTCTCTTCATCTGTTAAACCCCAGCAAAAAAAAAAAAAAAGAATTATTATTATAATTAGTTGTATAACAAATAAATAAAATATTATATAAGTTAAAATAGGAGATTACATTCAACAGTGGCACTTAAGAGGCGATTGCCAACATAAGCCCAGCCCAAATACATTCTGACAACAGCAAGAATCACAAACACAAGCCCAGTTGCAGCAGAGCCCAAAGCAAGTATAACGGGCTCTGATTTCGGGCCAATTGACCCGAACAAGGAAATAGGAAGGCCCACCAACAGACCAAAGCAGGCCCCACTCACTGCCAATCTCGAACAGTACGATACGACGTCGCCGGACGCCCATGAGAAGGGGAACGAATCGGAGAGTGACTGGTACTCGTTGATTGGCTGTTGGTCGAATGGAACAGGGCACTCTGTTTCTCGTGGGGTGTTACTGTCATTCTTGAAAGATGACGAGGGTATTTTGGGGAAGGGAGTTTTGTGATATGGAAGGGTTCTGAAGGTTAGTTGGTAGTTTGTGAGTGTGGAGGGGAAGGAGAGAGGAGGTGGTGGTGGTGGTGATGAGAGTGGTTTTAGAGAGAGAAACAATAAGGAGGTGCTGCTGCTCATTTTCTTTGTTTTTCCCTTTTTATTTATTTATTGCAAGGTTTTTGATTGGTTGGTTTGGGTTTAGGATATTCTGCAAAACACCTTTTGCTTATATGGTTGTGGTTTTTGGTGTCCGAGTCAAGAAAATAAATAGATATCAAAATTATTTAATTATAATTACTAATAATAATATATAATATATAATAATAATTTACTAATGAGGTACTGAATTGGCTGTGCATTGAGTTCCCACTTTGAATGAACCAAAACTTGCCAATCCAATATAACCTAACCTTCCTTGTGTAGTAGTAGTAAATAAAATTTCAAACTCTCTTTCAACTTTTGCTCTACTTACTCAATAATCTAACTCACTCGCTCACCAATGGCTGCTCATTTTTACAGCTCTATGTACTATTCACAGTGAGGCAGTGTAGGCACTTGAGACGTGTAATTATCTGCGCAAAAGACGGCCGTGCCTGTGGGTCCCTGCACAAGACACGAACGAGCCTCCACGTTAATATTAACTAACGAATGCATGTACATATATATTGAAAAACAAGAAACAAGTGTGTGTGTGTGTGTGTGTGTGTTAGATCTTACGTATTCCAACAGTCACTAATTAAATTTGAGACCAATGGATCAACGATGGGTGGTATTTCGAGGCGTCTATTCTGGAATCCAACAGCTCCAACGACCTGCATTGAGTTCATTTCTGTCCATGGTACTTGCAGAGTTGCCAGCTCCCACAGTATCACTCCGAAACTATATACATCAGATCTGTGAATTCAAATACATTGTTTGTTACTCTTATAACCATAATAATATTCAAGACATAACATTAGACAATAATCGACATAGGTAGACCATTATTAACTCACTTCTCATTGGATGGTTCACTTCTTAAAACCTCTGGGGCCATCCACTCGGCCTGCATATTGGAGAACAATAACCAGTAAATCTTCCATCATATCATAATTTTCAATTTTTTTTTTCCCAATAATAAACTGTAAAAAAGAACAAAAAACAAAACTATGGAAGTAATTGGCTTCACGGGCATATTTACCGTTCCAGCAGCAGACTTCGAAGATAGAAAAGTATGGTGCTGCAAACGTGACATTCCAAAATCACAAACCTAGCGTATTATCCAAGAAACAAGGAAATTAATTAGAGGAGAGAGAAAATGGAAATTAAGTATGTCTGTATTTGTAGTAACAAGGAAAGAATGGGGGGCGTACCTTAACAACCCAATTTTTATCAACAAGGAGATTCAGAGTCTTCAGATCTCGATGCACAATGATAGGATGGCTACTATGCAAATAATTCATCCCCCTTAGCCTACAAAAGGTAGACACATTAGCATATGTCAAAACAATCTAATAGCACTTAGCAGAAGCAATTTGGAGTGTTGATTAATCAAATAAATACCACATCAAGGGCCATTTTTATTCGTAGTTTTTCATCTAGTTGGATATTTGGACGATGCAGCAGTTTATATAAACTACCCCTGCAAGAAAGACAGGGATTATAAAAACCATGATCAAACCTTAACATGAGGTGCAAAATATGCTGACGGAGCTAAAACCATCAAATAGTTAGCTATATTAAGAAATAAACCTGGGAAGAAATTCTGTCAGTATGGACATATTTGGGGGGCAGGTCACTGCGCCCATGAAAAGAACAACATTTGGATGTCTTAACCTTAGCATGATTTCAACCTACAGGCAAAAACACGAGCAAAGAGTTTCAAACCAAATATTTCAAGGAATATAAAACCTTCATAGCACGTAAAGTATCACATGCAACACGAAATGTTTCAAACTTAGCATTTACCTCACACTTAAACTGTGCAAGTGCGTTGTCCGAGATATCTTGTTTCATAAACTTCTTTACTGCAACTTCCTGTCATGAAATGTACTAGTAATATTAAGTGAATTTACCCCCAAAATACCTAAAAATCGCCTTCAAATATTAAGTGAATTTACCCCAAAAAGAAAAATCACTTTTAGTAATGTCCTTGTAGTTTTTCATTAAGACGTGTATTTACTACATATCTGGCAACTTAAACTGTAACTTACCGTGCCATTCCATTCTGCTCGGTAGACCTCACCGTATGACCCTGCAAAATGTACAAGGAAATTGTAAGCATTCCGTTTGAGAAGAATGCATGCAAAGATCATACTCGTAAAAACAGAAGTCTCGTCACATATATTATATCATACTCTAGCATATGAGTCCGTTGGCATAATGTATATGCAAAGCTATGTGACTGATGCATATTCAAATAAGACACAAGTGATCCTTAATCATAAGCTATGTCTTTGATGCACCGTTAATTAAATAGTAGATTTCCCAAGTAATTTCTATAATGAAGTTCTCGCTTACAAAAAGATATACACTTAACGACTGAATATAAGTTACAGAGAAGGATAACAACAAAATGTAGACAAGCACAGACATCTTGCTCCATTCTCAAAGTGAACCTCAACTTTCAGTAAGGGAGAACGAATCTAATGCAGCAGACTCTTACCTATACCAATGCGTTCGCCAATTTGAAGATCCTCCCATAAAATTTCGGCAACTCCATTCAACACAGGATTGTGAATCTTACTAGCGTTATACTTGTCAGTGCAGGACATTAGAGTAGCTTCTGTATTCTGAGAAAATTCAACAAGTGCTCTGCCAACAGCTGTTTGGCCATTTGAGATCACTTCATCATTTCTATCGTTGCCTAGGGCATTTTCTTTTCCTGGAATGCTGAAAGACGATTTATGTCCTTCCAACTCCAGTTTAAACAGATGTGCTCCCAATCCATCAGCTGAACGCTTTCTGCTACTGCTACACGATAACTGCAATCCAGTAACGGGGACAAGTGAGTGCTCATTAGACAAGTACATATCTGCATGGCCCAGATCAACTGCACAGTTCTCCAAAGAAATAATGTCGAGTTCTCTAGCAAATTCTGGTTCCTTGGCAGCCCTAGTAGCATAATTGGAAGCATCTTCAATATGTGAGTTCCATCGAGTTGATTTTTCCTTGCCAGTTGATGGAAGGTAAAGATCACTGACTTCATGCTCCGATAATTCTGTCTGGATGTTCCCTGTTATTCTCCTGACTTTTCTATTTGAGTTGTTGGCAATGGAAGACGATTCTGAACTTGAATTGGAAGTTTCACTAGGAAAAAATAATCTATTTCTAGCTCCTTGGCTTGTACATGAATTTTTTTCACTCCCTGCAACAGTAGCAATACTCTTTGCATCAACCCCAGAATTTTGATGATGACCACCACTTGGTGCCTCGGCAGGAATAAGTGTGCCAGGAGAACCCATTAGATCAATAATGTACTCACTGCATCAATTGAAAATTTACTATTATTCTCAATAATGAGAGACTCAGATAACCTCACTAATAATGTTTTATAACAAACACCAATTCTGCAAAGAAAAAAATATGAAATAGCAAACCAGATTAATATGATGAAAATATTTATTATGTAAACAAAGGCAAGATGTAGCTTGCATAACGGTAGTTAGTACCTTCCATCATCCAATTTAACCAAGTTCACAGCTCCTTCGTCGGTGCCAGTGTAATAACTCCCTTTGACTAGCTTACACGGAAGGTTGATCCTGTCTGCAAGTACCTAAACACCAAAATTTGGATGGTCAGAATTATATTCTTCTTTATTCAATGCAAATGTGTCCCGAAAATAGAAGGAAACAACACAACAAGGCATTCAAGTCCAAATGTAATGTAATGCATCAGAAATGTGGTACAAATCATATATTTAGATACTACTTCATCCAATAAAGTTGCTCTGCCCCTTTACTGAATTTAGGATGGAAAAACGCACACTTGCCAGATAAGGCAAGATACGGAACTTAATGGTGAAAACCAATGTTATATACTAGAAAGCAAATATTCCTGCTACCTTAAAGAGTAGGGCCCGGTGGCGCGAATGCCCAATATCGAGAAAGCCAAGGGGAAGAGCGATTGTATTCAGATATATTCTCAGCTCCAGATTCCTTGCCCTCCACCTCCTAAACATTTCTTCGACATCACTAACAGGACCTCCCATTCTTTCAACAATAAGGTTAGCAATTTTTTGAACTAGAAAACTCGTATTAACGGCTGTTCCCAAAGTGTGGCATTCCATGTACATAAAGTAAACTTTTTCCTCTAGTTGCTGGAGTTGCACATCAACTGAACGATTGACTAAAACAACCTCACAATCAGTACTGTCCAAGGCAGAAATTGCCTCAAGTTCTGTTAGTGATGGCATTTTTGTTTGGACCAGCTGATTTGAGTCTATTCCACAAACATCAAAGAACCCGTCAATTACTTTCTCATCATAATTTACAACATTATAGCTCTGCATCACAAAAACAAAGAAGAAAAAATTAATCAATTAACCCCCCACAAGAAAAGGAAATCTAGTGCACAAAACAACCAAGAGGACCAAGCCTATAATATCCACAAGCATATTCGCCTTTGAACTACATGTAGTTGCAGATGTGATGGTGGTCAGTTTATTTTTTTATTTACTATTTAAGGGTAATAAGCAATTATTACTAGTGAATGCAATGAACAACTAAAAAGACTTGCACCGAAAATTATATCCACCGCCTACAATAGAAGGAAACAAAATATGCATGCATTACGAAATCTTGACACGACGTGAATCTCCAACCGACACATGGATATCTAAATAAAAATAAAATAACAATTCACTCAATTCAAACGGTGTACATGGTGGACAAAATAAATTAAACAAGCATGTTTATGATGGCGTAATGTCTATCAAATGCCTAATTTAGCACGACTTAGTAATGACAGGAGCACTAAGTGGAAATTGTCCACTGTTACAGACTGGTAATGCAATGTTTCTCCACCGCCTAATTTTAAGTGCTATTGAGCAACATATAATCAATGCATCAATCGCCTGCCTAAACATATTTGCCACAGATTATGTTATGCATATCAAACTCCAGCAATTCTCACTGTTGCAACACATAAATTAAACATTTAAACTGAGTTAGTTCATTATACCTTAAATCAACGAGAGAGGCAATTAAATCAAAAACAAAAAAAAAACATAAAAAAATAAGAATAATTCAAGGAAGATGTTTGACCGAATATCGGAACGACAAAAATTCGGCAAGGTTTTGAGAAGGCGAGCAGCCGAGGCTAATCTGCTTGGCAGCATTGATCTGAGCTGTTTCCGAGTCAACGTAATTTTGACCCGGATCCGAAACGCTAATTGCCAGCGCCAATTGCATTTGAAACTCCTCCTCGATGAAATTGAAATTGCTAGCATCATTCGAACTCTCGTTCCCCGATGAAACCGCCGTTTCCGGCAAATCCGGCGGCGGAGAAGTGGAGGTCAATGGCTGGGGCGGCGGTGCCGGAGGTTCGGGATCGACTGCCGGCGGGCGCCCATGGTGGTGGTCGCCAATATGAAGCTTCCGCAAAAAGTGTTTCACCTTTGACATTTTCCTTGCCTCTCATCGATCGGGCAAAAAAAAAACTGATAATTTACAGAAATATACAGAAGAACGAAACAAAATCGGAGAAAATTGATTGTACTTTTGGGGTAGGGTTTTGGATTATCGGAAAATTGGGATTAAAGTTGGCACCGGTGGGTGGAGAGTGGGGAGAGAAGCGGTTTTAACCTGCGCACTAAGGTAGTCTTCATCGGCAATGTTTAGATATATATACTACTGTGAATGAATTAACTGTTGCGTGCTTCCCTCCAAGTTTAATTTAATGCATTAATAAATCATTTATATATTACTTTACTATTTTGTATTTTCCTTTTTGGATTTTATTGCCACATTGTTGCATTAAAATAAGGAAAATTTGGTTAAAATTGTCGAAAAAATACCTTGTATACCTGAGAGTCCGTTCGAATATTCTGAATTTGCTAAAAGTGTCTCGGACAACTTAGTTAGACGGTTTAAATTGAAAATACATAGCTCTGAATAAAAATAACGAAAGCATGAGCTTAGACTAAAAATAGACAATTTACTGCAAAAAGAATAACTTAATCGAAGAATTTGTACTGAAAATAGATATTTTAGACAAAAAATAAGGATCGAGACCGATGAAAATAATCATTTATGGTGACGTAGTTTGCGGAAATTGGGCGATCGGCAAATTGTGCAAATTACAAATTGATTTGATTATTGAAAATTGGGCAGCGACTGAGACGACTTATGAGATCCTACGGCGGGTAAAATTCATTATTTGATTTTAAACCGTAGATCTACATCAATAACAACCCACCAAGCACACATACACATGGGTGTGTGTAATTATGTGTATATCTATGATTTAAAACTACATGGTATATTTCACCGGGTATAGTTTCTACAAAACCCGACTCAGACCGATGACAATAACCAATTTTTTTTTTTTATTTTTCTATAAAACAGCTCAAACATTAAACTTCAATGCTAATAATCTTCACAATTTAATTTTAGACATAAATATATAGGAATAAAAAAAATCTAAACTAGAAGAAAATAAAGTGGCCAAGTTGCAATCAGCAACAATGGGTTATTTCGCGATCATCATTTCATCATTCATAATTCAAATGGCGGGAAAGAAGATATAAATAATAAGAGTAAATCGCGTTTTAAAAAATAGAAAAAAAAAAAAAGAACAAAGTACTTGTGGAACATAAAATACTTTCTTATGTTTTATGTACAACAAGATGAAGCGAAAAGGCACTACTTGCATCAATCACCATTTTGCGAATAAACGGCCAGAGTTCTCTCACGCGGTGGCGGCAGCCGCCTCCTCAGCCATCTGAGACACCGAGAGGAGGGTGCAGATCAGGTTGCGATCTCCATACACATTGTCAACACGCCCTGAGAAAGAATATCACCCAAAAAAATTGTTATATAATTACTACTTATTTTCCCAACAAAATAAATATATAAGCATATAATTAATTTGTATTAAATATTAAATTGTTCGTATACGAACCTGTGGTAGGCCAGAACTTGGCGGTCTTGAGCCAAGCAGCAGGGTAAGCGGCATATTCCCGAGAATACGGTTTTGTCCAAGCATCAGCCATAAGGAGCGATGGTGGATGAGGAGCACCCTAGTAACAAATATAAGTAAAATGCAATCAATAAACCGAACGAAAAAATCACAAAATCGAAATATAGTATCCACGGTTCAATAATAACAATAATAAATTAATAATAATTATACCTTGAGAACATTGTTGTTGATGTCGGCTTTGCCGTTCTCGATCAATGAAATTTCTTCTCTGATAGATATAAGTGCATCACAAAACCTGTCTAGCTCCGCCTGCAAAAATTAAAGATTGAAATACGAAGCGAAATTCAGAATCGTAAGGAGAAATAAAATATAGTATATTCGTGTGTGGAATTTGAATTTGAATTTGAATTTGATTTACCTTGCTTTCACTTTCAGTTGGTTCGATCATAAGAGTACCAGGAACGGGCCATGACATGGTGGGCCCGTGAAATCCATAGTCCATTAGACGCTTTGCCACGTCTTCAGCCTCGATTCCAGCAGTAGTCTACACCAAAATTGCCATTTTAAGAAATTGTTTTATTATTATTATTATTTTTTTTTTCAAAAAAAAAAAAAAAAGGATTGCATAAATGATGTTTAAAAGTTGGACAAACCTTAAACCCTCTCAAATCTATGATGAACTCATGGGCGCATGTCCCGTTCACACCCCAGAAAAGAACCGGGTAATGCTTCTATTGATCATAAAATTCACAAGAAATTATGAAAGGGTTAAATACGAAAAAACGAAAAAAAAATATAGATAAAGATAGAGTCGAAAGAAAAAGAGACCTCCAAACGCTTGGCCATATAATTTGCATTCAAGATAGCAATCTTGGAAGCATCGGTTAATCCCTTTGACCCCATCATAGCTATGTAGGTATATGAAATAGGCAAAATGAGAGCGGAGCCCCACGGTGCAGCAGAAATAGTACCGAGGGGTTCGGCATTTTCAGGTGCGGGTATTCCTCCAGTGGACACCTGCAATAAATCGAAAAAAAAAGACAATACGGAAATTATTATATATTTTTTTAATTAATATATCTACAAAAAGAATTTGAATTTGATTTATACATACCACGGGATGTGATGGTAGAAATGGTGCAAGATGTTTCTTCACACCAATTGGTCCCATACCGGGCCCACCTCCGCCGTGTGGAATACAGAATGTTTTGTGGAGATTGAGATGGCATACATCTGCTCCGATAAATCCTGGGCTTGTCAGACCAACCTGTAATAAGCAGAAAATTTTAGTTACAGTTTTGCACTTATAAACGAACATTTTGAAAAAAAAAAGAAATTATGATTGATGGTATTGGGTAATATCTTTCATAGGATTGTGTAGTAATAGGGTCTGAGGTTAGATTAAATATCATTCATATGCTTCATTATATTCCGGGCCCGCCTCCAATCACATTTGATAACCCTTGATTATATTATCTATCACGTCATATCCTTATTCCCAAACGAGGCCTTACACGATACACATACACTGATGTACTATTGTAGTAAAACTTGTACCTGAGCATTCATGTTAGCTCCATCCATGTAAACTTGTCCACCATTGTCGTGAATTATTTTGCAGATCTCATCAATCCCCTCCTCATAAACTCCGTGAGTCGATGGATACGTAACCTAGAAATTTCACAGGAATATTTATTGAATAGAAAAAATGGATAAATGAAATGAAATGAAATGGAATATTCAGACAAGAGTAGTAATTCTTATTAAAAACCGTACCATAAGTGCGGATAAGTTGTCCTTATTTGCTTCTGCAGCCTTCTTCAACTCCGCAATGTTAATATTTCCCTTTGCATCCGTTCCAACAGCCACAATTTTCATCCCACACATAGCAGCACTTGCGGGGTTTGTTCCGTGTGCCGAGACTGGAATAATGCATACATTTCGGTGGTGGTCCCCTCTCGACTACATTAGAAAGTTCACCATAAGTTAATGCCACTAACTAAAATATCACTAGTAAGTGTCACTTTAGACTATAGAGTTTGAAGGCATAATTAATTATTATTTTTCCAAGTTTACCCCGACATTAATGATAGATTAATGAAGTGCGAAAGAAAAGATGAAAAGCCACAGAGGGGTAATTTGGTCAAATAAGGATTTATTTTTTTCTCAAAAAATCAAGAATGTGTAATAACTTTCTTAAGTTGTGTATCTATCTTAAACGGCACTTAAGAAATAAACGGAGGGAGTACATAACTTCACACCTAATAAGAACCCTTGTAGCAAAAGAGCCTCGGTTTTGAAGTCACCGAGATAATATATTTTATTAGCCTTTATGAAGTTAAGCTAAACTTAATTGATGTAAAATTACCATGTGATACGCTCGAATAACCATAAGCCCAGCATATTCTCCAGCAGCACCAGCATTTGGTTGAAGAGAGAAAGAATCGAAGCCAGTGATAGTACACAACATATCACCCAAGTTCTTGAACATTTCCTTTAATAATAAAAAAACCGTCATTAGTTCAATAACGTAATTTTTTACCAAATAAATAGAGAGAATTTATTTCAATTTCAAATAGTATATTTAAAAAATAAAAAAAGAAAACCTGAAAGCCAGCAGCTTGTTCAGTAGGGGCAAAAGGGTGAATATCTGCAAAAGCGGGCCATGTCACCGGCATCATTTCTGTTGTGGCATTCAACTTCATCGTACAAGATCCCAATGGAATCATACTGTGGCACAAAGAAAGATCCTTCGATTGAAGCTTGGAAATGTACCTAAGAAGCTCATGCTCGGTGTGGAACCTACAAAAATCAGTTACATTTACTGATTTACCCTTACAAGCAATAAATAACTCGAAATAATTAGCATTTTTTGTAATGAAATTTTAAATTTCGTACGAGTTGAATATTTGGTGAGTCAGATACGGGCTCTCCCTCACGAGTCCCGAAGGAATCAAACTTTCAACCTCCGATGCAAGAGATTCAGCAGTAAATGTCACCTGATTGACATAATGCTCAACTTATTATATTGTGTATAAAATTGAAATTTAAAAAAAAAAAATTAAATAAGTAAAATACTTGTACTTACCGGCTTACCACCTGCAAAGACTTCGAAAAGCTTGTCCACGTCTTCCAAAGTGGTGGTTTCATCGAAAGCAACAGTTATCTGTGATATAAAAAGGGTGTGATTATTATTTATTTCATTATTTCCACATTATTGCAACTTATATCGATATATTAATAGATAGATAAATAATGCTTACGGTATTCTTGTCGACATACGCAAGTTGATTCCGTGGTTTGTTAGCAACATCTGCAATAGCTTTTGAGTCTCCGCATTTGATTTTCACAGTGTCGAAGAAAGGAAGGCTTTGAACTTCTACGGTGCCGAGCTTTTTTAATCCAACGGATAATGTTCCAGCCAAACCATGTACCCTTTGGGCTATGGTTTTAAGCCCTTCCGGTCCGTGATAAACAGCATACATGGCAGCCATGTTTGCAAGCAACGCCTGCATATGACAGAAAAAGTAAAAAGTAAGGCATTTGTTTAAGTATTTAATCTTCGAAATAGGAAAACGCCGGCGAAATTGATCAAAAAGGGGATTTGAACTCTCAGCCATCTCTTCTAGAAGTCAAAATTTTGTTTATTTTTCCTCCGATTACTATTGACTGCTTGCTTACTTTCGAATTCATGAAAGATTCTTGGATTTGAATGATAGATTACACACTAAGGGAGCATCTCCAGCAAGAAAACGTATAATTTAAAGCTAGAACACCGTGAAATAGCTCAAATTCAACTTTTTAGCACTAAATTACATGTTTTCCTCGCTAAAATATAGCAGCTAGAGCAGTTCATTGAGTTCTCATAAGTCTCCTTAACATAAAACAAATGAATCAATCATGCGCAACTGATAATGATAATGATAATGATAACGATAAACTCACCTGAGCAGTACAAATGTTGCTAGTCGCCTTATCCCTACGAATATGCTGCTCCCTCGTCTGCATCGCCATACGAAGAGCTGGCTTCCCCGATGAATCAACACTCATACCAATAATCCTCCCAGGCATCATCCTCTTATACTCCTGTGAAGTAGCCAAGAAAGCAGCATGCGGGCCCCCATACCCCATAGGAACACCGAACCTCTGCGCGGACCCCACCACAATATCCGCCCCCAATTCGCCAGGTGGCTTCAGCATCGTCAAGGCCAACAAATCCGAAGCCATCACCACCTTCACACCATTAGCATGAGCGTTCTTGATGAACTCGCCGTAGTCCAAAACCTCACCCTCTGTACCAGGGTACTGCACTAAAACGCCACAAACATCGCCCGATTTGTAATCGATGTCCTTAACATCGGATACAACTACTTTGAGATCGAATCCGTCCGCTCGGGTTTTGCAGATGTCGATTGTCTGCGGGTGGCAGTTGCTTGCTATGATGAATGTCTTCTTCTTGCCTTTAAGGATGTTGTTGCACATGGCCATGGCTTCGGCGGCGGCTGTGCCTTCGTCGAGGAGCGAGGCGTTCGACATGGGCAAGGCGGTGAGATCTGTGATCATGGTTTGGTAGTTGAGCAGGGATTCGAGCCTGCCCTGTGAAATCTCGGCCTGGTACGGTGTGTACTGTGTGTACCACCCTGGATTCTCCATGATGTTTCGCAGGATGACAGGTGGCACGTACGTGTTGTAGTAACCCATGCCAATGTAGGATTTGAAGACCTTGTTTTTGGAGGCTAAATCGGACATGTGGGAGAGCATCTGTGCTTCGGTGAGGCCTTCGCCGAAAATGGGGAGATCCATTTTGTCGATGCGGATGGATTTGGGGACGGTGGCGTCGATTAGCTCGTCTAGGGTTTTGAAGCCGACGAATTCCGCCATCTTGGACTGGTCCTCCGGCGTGGCGGAGTTGTGGCGGCGGGGGAAGGTGTCGCTGGGCTTCAGGGCGGCAACGGAGATGGATCGGGCGCCGAGGAATTGCGATAGGGTTTTGGAATTGGTGGTCCTCCCCTGCTGCTGTACGGCGCTCGGAGATAACGAGGAGACGTACCTTGAGGATTTGTAGAGTGGCTGCTGCTTGGATTCCGAAAACAGCCGCCGGAGAATTGCTCTGTTCGCCAATTTTCTCGCGCGCTCCATTTTTTTAATGTTTTTGGAAGAGAGGAATTTGCGAACACCCCAGAGAGAAGGGGATGAATGCAGAGAAGAGAAGATGAAGTGTTTGATGAAATGCTTCAGTGGGTTTGTTTGAGATTTGTGTAATACAGTTATAAAGATTTCATTTTTAATTTACTGTTGTGATCATGGTTATCGGATCGTAAAAATATCTCGTATCGTTTTGCTCCATATCTCGTACCGTATCGTTATCGTACCGTATCGTAAGATATTTAACCAACTATTAAAATAGTAAAAAGTATATATCTACATTATAAAAATATTATAAACATGTAAGATTTAATATTTTTACTCATTTCAAAATAGATATAAATTCAAGTTTCAACACATATTATAAAATATGACCAAAATCATAATTTTCATCAAATAACATCATCTAAGAGGGTGTTTGGCTAGGCTTATAAGATGTTAATAAGATGTTTCAGAGTTTCTAGCCTCTTCCAATGAGTTAGGTATTTCGTTGATGGAGTTTTTAAAAAGTACATTTACCCCGCCTATTTATTTATTATCTAAAGACTTGAAAAAATTAGTTCTAAAAATAAGACGTAACAACTTATCAGCTCTTAAAACAGCTTATCAGATGTAAGAGTTTATCAGCTGTTTAAAATAAGTTTTAGCCAAATGGACATTAAGTTCAAATTCGAATACCTAATTCGTAAAATTATTCGATCACTCATAATTTTGAAGATCAATGTCACTTAAGTCGTCCTCATCCATCAATTTTAAACGATTACCTTTATCATTATCAATCGCAAAACCTAGTCAAAAATGCCTTGAATCAGTATAGAAGTTGAGTTAGGGTTGCGATATTGTAAGGATTAGTGATGACATTGAAGACAAAAGTGTGAAGTAGGGTTGGGATATTGAAGAAATTTGTTCAAATCCATTTTTTAGAGCAGTTGATTGCGTTTCTTCTTTTTATCTCGTTTCTTTTTTCATTTTTTTAATTGTCGACTAATATCGTAAATATCGTATCGTATCGTGATACGGCGATACAATACGATATCTCGCGATATTTAATGGTATTTATCAATAAGCGATACATAACCCGAGTTGTATCGTTTTGATTGGAACCATACCGTATCGTGATATATATCGCGGTATATCGCGAGATTAACTACCATGGTTGTGATAGCCGAAGGGAGTGGGTGGTGGTAATGGGTTGTTGAGATCACTCTCTCTCTCTCTCTACTCTCTTACACAAATATATTTATTCTATTTATTAAATTTGTGGCCTAATTTATTTAGCAAGAAAATAAGGAAATTAATTTATTGAATTTGAATCTAACTTGACATATATAATTGTATTATATATGTATTTTACGTCTTTAGTGTAAAGTGTAAACTATTACACTATAATACACTCCGTTCAGTTACTGCTATTAGATTTTATTAACTAAATAGTATAGGATAATTATACGCTCGGTTGATAAGTTTCGCACTTAATTTTGTAGAGATGATGAAATATGGAGAAGAAGAAAAAAACTATTTTATATCCTTAACAATACATGTTAATTATATTAAATTAAATATTTTTCTAGACAAATCACATTGAATACCATAGATTTAATACAAAATCTAATTCAAAGAACCGAGTATTTTATTAGTTGAATAATTAATTAGTCAGTAAGAAACTAATATACTCTCATCTAACCCAAATTAATTCGATTATAAGTAACCAAACGAGCCCTAAAGTTTGCTCCAACTGACTATATATGATTGGTAGCAGTTAAAATCAGTTTTTCCTCAATTCAATTTTTTTTTTAATCGGGTAATTTATTAATGCATTTGAGACCATGTATATGAGATCAGGCTATGCAGCACCAACTTGAGATAAAGGACATGGATTTTGGGGGTCACGTGCAAATCTTGAAACTATGTAAGCCAATGATTTTTTGGTAAAAATCTAATCTTTTTCTGCAGAGATATGAGATAAATAGGGTAAATTTGAAGAGAATAAATGTATGGAAGGGAATGAATGGGAAAGGATTGAGATTTAGTGGATCCAATTTAATGGATTTGGCACAAAAAGGATTAAAAAATAAATAAATAAAATGTTGTATTATATGATTGGGGAAATTGTGATGTGTAGAGAATGATGATGCATGGCATATTCTCTTTCACATTTAGCTTATCTTATTTTCACACCTCACATAAATAAAATAAAAAAGATTAACACATTTTGAGTTTCATTATCTTGGAAAATATAAGTTAGAATCTAAGATATTTTTAATATTTTTTATGCTTGTGTAATTGAGATTATGAATGTAAATGAACGGAGGCGCTTCGTAAGACTCGTTTTTCTGATGAGCTCATTTTTAATTGTTCAAAAGCTCATATTTAGTAGCTGCCATGCGACTATTTTTTTAGGCAACGTGTGTTTAAGGATGTTATTGGAGAAATAACATTTAATCTCGAGTTTTAATCATTACGTTAATTATCGATATCGGATTACTAGTTACTATCTTCTATTAAATTTGTTAATTTAGTAGGACTGTCAATTCGATATAGGTAACCAAACGAGACCTTAAATAATATTGTGATTATATAAAAGATTAACACAAATATAAATAATATTTTGTACAAGGTTGGTTGGTAGCTTTCGAGGGGGCTAAAGGAATCATGAATGAGTGAGTTTGGTGAATCTTTTGCATTCAATAAACTTTAAATTCAATCCAAGGGCCTTGGAGTTGATGGGGATGTTTACCTTATGCAATCTGGACCGTTGATCAATCTTCTGTGATTCCGTGGCAAATGAATCAACGGCCTCTGATTTTCCCTTCCAGCTTCTATGTTTGTCTTAAGTAAAAAATCCGTAGTGTATATATTCTTTTCTATTATTGGAAGGCCACATTGATTTATTTATTTAATAAAAGAACCTACAGCCGACCATATATGTGCACTTTGTACACATACACTCTTGTATACTAGCTGACAAACAAACCATACGATAAGCGTAAATCACAGTAGGCTAACCATGTGTGACAAAATCGACATAACGACCGTTGGTAAGATGATTCGAACTTGAATCAATTGACACAATCTCACTTGTTCCAACTGCTATGTAGGCCATCAGTTGCGGGGCATTTTTCCACCTTAGAGCTACGATGCACAAAAACTTCAGTTCAGATGCGTTTTCATGTCTCGGAAATCGAAACCCCATGACACCCGTTCGAAACGTTTTGGGGCCATTTTTATAAATACGTCTAGGTTACGGGAATATTTCTATTAATAAAAATGAATGCCTTTCCACCGGGAAAAAATCCAAAACTTGTTTTAAACGAAAAATCGGAATTGCTTACGTTTGAAAAAATATGATAGATTGAGCCCATTATACTAAAGAGGGAAGAAAAGAAAAAAAAAAAAAAAAAAAGCCCATTAAGTGGATTTCGGCCTTATATTTAATTATTTGATCCTTGTACAGATTTATATTTAATCTAAGTCGGCAGGCCTTAAACTTCAACAACCAAAAGTTAGTGGTCAAATTTTAGTCAAATTATTACAATTGTTATAGTTCAATTAATCCAAATTCGGGCAATGTCAAATTATAAAAAAAAATTCATCTTATTTGGGTAATTATAACAATTCATCAATTATGAATCTTCTCATACGTCAACTCTTATGTTGTTAAATTCAGCCTAATCTTCTAGAAGTAAGTTTGTCTTCGTTTTGTGAAAAAATGCAGTTTATAATGCACCACAGTCTGATATTTAGATTCCAAGAGACACATTTTATGATCATATTGTTTCAAAACATTGAGTTCGGATGGGGTAAAACGAGCACAACTGGAGAATATTCCACAAAGTCTAGAGATTCTACTAAATTTAACACCGCAAGGATGAAGTTGTAAGAAGATTCATAATTGAGGGGCAGTTGTAATCATCTAAATCTGTTTTTTCATAATTTGAATTTATCTCAATGGGTGACGTTCATTTATCATTCAACAATCTTACTTAGGTGAATGAATACCTCATCACTTCATACATATACATACACAACCTATAATAACATAATAAATGTAACAAACATAATATTTATTCAGTATTATTTTTATAATAATGTATGTGTGGTGCTGCTGCTATTTCAAGAAACATAGTACAGACGGTTCTTTGTATTGAGCATCAAACCATTCCTAATATTGCCAAACACCAAGCCAGGATCTGAGGATAAAGCTTCTGCCAATTGCACACCAATTTTCTGTTACTAATAATTTCACCCCCAATCATTATTAATTAGAAAAATTAAATAAAATAATAATTAAAAAATAAATAAAAATATATAGTCTTGCAAATCTGTAAAAAGTTGATAATTAAAAATCCACAAAGACCAGCCAACAAGTCTGTCCACAACTTTGCTTCATCAGTGCTGGTTCTGCTCTGCTGTCTGCATCAGCCACACTCTAATTTAAAAAAAAATCATTTTTAACTTTATTACATTTACTCTCTCTCTCTCTCTCTCTCTCTCTCTCTCTCTCTCCCTCTCCTCTTCTTGAGTTTTGACACGTCTCCCATTAAGATTCATACTTAAAATATCCCAACAATTATTATAACCATCAAATCAGAAATCTTGTTTGGTGTTATCTATTAAATCTGTTTTTTTTCCTAGTAGAGTGAAATTAGGAAAAAAATCCACTTATGTGTAACCATTCAATATGAATCTTTTTACACGTTCATCTTTACAGTGTCAAATTAACTAAAATCTTCTAGATTATATAGAATATTCTCCAGTGTGTACCTGTTTTATCTCATTCGAACTTTACATTTTAAAACAAGATAATCATAAAATGTGTCTATTGACTTGTAAAAATCAAATTGTGGTGCATTAAAAACTATATTTTAGCACGAAACAAGTACAAGCCACAAAACATTCCACATAATCTAGAAAATTATATTGAATTTGACGCCATAAGAATAACCGTATGAAAAAGTCATAGTTGACGAGCGCTTGTAATTACCCAAACATAAAGGGTTTTTTCGTAATTAACTAAAAATAAATAAGATAATTTTGAATTTGGTGAAATTGGTTGTGGAGCTGTGGAGCATTAAATATACACAAATGTAAAATTAAATCTATCTCAAATGGCCTCAGAATCTAAAAAAGGCACCACTTTAACCATCTATCTCCCATGTGCAGTCTTTATGATAAATCACCAGTCAAATGCACCCCAAAATAAATACTTTCTTTTCCTTTTTATCATCTTCAATTCTTGAAACTTAAAAAAAAAATTAAAAAAAACCACACAACTCCATCTCTCTCCCTCTCTCTTTCTCTCTCTAGAGCAGAATGTTTGAAGAGTCTGCATCTGAAATACCTCCTTCAATATGGGCATCAATGAGCAACTGGTTCACACCAACTGTTCTATTTCTGCTGCTAAACATTGTGATACTCACCATTTTTTTCACCTCAACTTTTGCAAACCAGATACACAATCAAAACCAAAACCAAAACCAAAACCAAAACCAAACCCAAACCCAAAACGACACGTCACCAAAGATTGCCAGATCGCCTTCACTTCTGCAGCGCATCAAATCAGCTAATTTCTACCCTCACCACACATCTCACAGAACCCCAGATTCCGACACCCTCTTCAACCTCAACCACTCCCAAAACCCCGACACGCAGTCCCACTACTTCTTCGAAGAAACCCACGAGTTGAATCATCAAGAAATCGAAACCCAGTTCGTCTTCGAGCAGAAAGATCCGATCTTGAACGGTTGCAACCCGGCCCACGAGTTGAATCGTCAAGAAATCGAAACCCAGTTCGTTTTCGAGCAAAAAGATCCGATCTTGGACGGTTTCAACCCGGCCCACGAAGAGAAAGTTCAAGAAGAAGAAGATGAGATGCAGAGTATGGAGGAGGTTTTCAGTCAGGTGACAGGCGGTCACTTTAGCAGGACCAAATCGGATACCGAGCCAACCGCCGGCGAGTTGCCGACCAAGCTGCCGGCGAGGATGAGGAAGTCGGCGAGTATGAAGTCTCCGTTCGGGCATTTCGAGGAGGAGAGCATAGTGGAGGTGCGGCGGCCGGCCACCGTGAGGGAGAAGGGGAATGCTAAAGTGACCGACGGTGACGAAGAGGTCGACGCGAAAGCTGACGATTTCATCAACAAGTTTAAGCAGCAGCTGAAGCTGCAGAGGGTGGACTCCATTATCAGGTACAAGGACATGATTGGGAGGGGGAGTGGTGGAGGGAGGTAAAAACGCTATTGTGGGTCTTTTCAGGTACTGTTTTGTAATTTTTGGTATTTTTAGGGAAATACTGAAATAGTTGGATTATTAAGGGGTTGTTTTGCAATAAGTTTTGGTGGTGATTCCGGCTATAATATGGTGGTCGGTTAGATAGGATTAATGTGTAATCTTATGCCGCCCTCCTCCGCCCCATGTGTTAGGTTGGACCTTTTTGGCCATGTTTTGCTTTTGGATGGGCATTTTAGTCATTTTAATGTTGTTGCATTCATGTGTAAATTTCAATGATAGTAGTAGAATGGGGAGGGATTAATTTTCACTTACTGTCCTATTTTTCCCTCTAAATAGGATTTTCCTATTCGTTAAGGGTCTATTTGATGTTACACCCGTAAAATACAATGGGTGATTATTCACTGTCGATCCGCGTATAATCACACACATCCTGATTAAAAATTACCTTATATATTTCATTGGTTATGAAGTCTCAATGACCTTGGTTAAGGATAATATTAAATTTTGATTGTTCATGTTTGACCATTTTATCTTTAACAAGTTTTCAAGCAATTTCAATGTTATTTTGATTGTATCATGATCAATGAAGAACAAAAGATGGCATGGTGAAGTGATTAGTCATGTAACTTGGGAATCTAAGGTATTAATTAGTGTGTGGGTCCATCTTCAATTATGTCTAATTATCATCTTCATTATGCTTAATTAGTGGGGGTTTCACTAACAAATATACAAGTGGGGCTGGATTATGTGAATTATTAAATAGGGCAAAATTCACTTTACACCCCTCGATTACGAAATAACAAAACCATGTTAACGATGGGCGGTGGCGTACTTAACATGTTACAACGTTTGTCAGATTAATCTTTATATATAAAAGAAAGAAATGTAAGTGCACCCATAAATAACTCTAGTGACACTTTTGTAATTATATTTTTGGGTAAATTACACTCACATGCTAAAATAACTTTAAGGTCTATGTGGCATCGATAATTACACTCACCCCTGAAACATGGTTAGAAATTCTAATTGGATAATGCATTCCGATAGAGTTCTAACGGACTATTAGTTTCAGGAAATGGAGGAGACAACAAAGAGCTATGGATGATTTAAGAAATGTTGGGGGGAGCCCTGTCACCCCCTAACTCCATGTTGTCTCTATCATTAGCTAAAAGCAATAGTCCGTTAGAACTCAATCGAAATAATGTATCCAATGCATTATCCATTTGAGTTTCTAACTATGTTTCAGGGGTGAGTGTAATTATCAATACCACAGGGACCTTAAAGTTATTTTACCATACCCCAAGGGTGTGAGTGTAATTTACCCTATATTTCTTTTAATTATTTTTCCTCTAATTTTTTAATTATACATTTTCAAAATTAAAATTAAACATTAATCTCTAATAAATAACTCCTGTAATTATAAATAGACTTTATTAGTGAATGAACCAAAATTTGCCTAGCACAACTTCATCTCAAGAAAAAAAAAATTTAATACTACCCATTAGCAAAGTGTATATAATCTGCATGTAAAACAAACTAACCTTATAAACATCACAAAAATGGCCGGTCAAGATCCAATGGGGGCAGGCACCTCCTTCCCCTTCGCCACAGCCGTTGCAGCCGCCACAGCAGCCTCCGCCGCAGCATTCGGCGGCGGGGGGTGGGCAATAATCTGCTGCTTCTCAGGCTGCTGTGTTTCCCTCTGCGCAAGAAGCGCCTTAATCTGACTCCCCGTGAGAGTTTCCTTCTCGAGCAAGGCATTCGCAAGCGCATGCAGCTCATTATTATGCACCGTCAAAATTGTTTTTGCATTATTATAAGCAGTCTCCAAAAACTCCCTAACTTCTTGCTCGATAAGCAAACGAGTCTCCGTGCTCATGCTCTTACTATTGTCATCGTAGTTGTGGGCCACCACACCCACATTTTTACTCATCCCATATTTCGTAACCATTGCTCGAGCAAGGCTGGTTGCTTGCTGCAAATCGTTCGACGCTCCAGAAGTGACTTCCGGTTCGCCGAAGATTAGCTCTTCGGCGACCCGCCCGCCCATACAAACATTTAAACGGGCGAGCATTTGCTTACGAGATATACTCGTTTCGTCTTTATCTGGTAATTGGGAGACCATACCTAGGGCCATGCCACGTGGCACAATGGTGGCCTTGTGGACCGGGAGGGCCCCGTCGGTGTGGATTGCCACGAGGGCGTGGCCGGCCTCGTGGTAGGCGGTCAGCTTGCGGGACTCCGGGGAGATAACGGCGGACTTGCGCTCGCTGCCCATCATTATTTTGTCCTTTGCGTGCTCGAGGTCTTCCATTGTGACCGATTTGGAGCCGTCCATGGCGGCTTTGAGGGCAGCCACATTGACTAGGTTCGCCAGGTCAGCGCCGGAGAAACCGGGTGTTCCCCGAGCGATGATTGAGAGATCCACGTCTTCTGCTTTGAGAACCTGCAAAGGGCGGCGTGGAAATATTAGTAAAAAAATGGATTGTTCATGCAGAAAGCTATTATGTTTCTTTGTATTTTGATATGAAACAATTTATTCAAATTATTTAAAAAAAAAAAATTAAACTGGTACATTCAAACTTCAATTGTTAATGGTTTACATCCAATGCTCTAAAATACTTCAGATATCATGACATTATAGGCCTCGTTAGGCTGGTAGATTAGCCATCATTAATTAAATAATCAGACTTTTAGGGCCCAGACTACCTTAAGATAAGGTATGATAACATAATATTTCTGGGTCGACCCGGGGAATTATTGTGTTTACCAAACATCAAAACAAAGTCGAAATATTTAGTTAATCATGGCTAAATCTCCCCAACCCAGCAGTTTGTAAGGCTAATCTTATCTTGAGTACCAAACGAGGTCTTAGGCTACTCAAATGTAATAAACAAATATATTTGTCCAAAGATACGAAGCAGCAAATTACCTTCGACATGTGGACTTCCAAAATCTGCCTCCTCCCTTCAACATCGGGATTCGGAACAACAATATGCCGATCGAACCTTCCGGGTCTCACGAGCGCCTTATCAAGCAACTCGGGAAAATTAGTTGCTGCAATGACGATAATACCCTCATTCTGTTTGAACCCGTCGAGTTCCACAAGCAGCTGATTTAAAGTCAGCTTCATATACTGCTGATCTTTAGGGTTTCGGCTTCCTCCTATAGCATCAATCTCGTCTATAAATAATATACAGGGCGAACTCTTTTTGGCAGCGGCAAAGAGGATTCTCACTCTACGCGCACCAACGCCGACAAACATTTCCTCGAATTCACTGCCACTGCACGAGAAGAAAGGTACACCTGCTTCTCCGGCAATGGCTCTTGCTAACATTGTTTTTCCGGTGCCAGGTGGACCCACTAGAAGAACGCCTTTCGGAAGCTTGCCACCTAGGCGAGTAAATCGCTGAATTTTTTTTACAAGATTTGTATCGTGAGAATCCACGTATACCTTATCTTTTTCTCTTTCTTTAGTGTGTTTCCATGAGATAGAAAAGATAATAAAATAATAGACTTACCTTCGGATCACGAAGGTAGTGAACAATTTCCTCCAGCTCAGCTTTTGCCTCGTCAACTCCCTTCACGTCACTAAATTTCGTATTAGGTTCCATACTGGGCCGCACTTCCTCGCGTAAAGCAGGCCGTGCTAAGAGAAGGCAACGGAGATTTAAGTAAAACTCTCCTTATTCAGTCAAACATTTCAACTGAATCACATCACACTGCATAAAGAGCAGAAAACTACCGAAAGATACGTCATTTACCTTGACCAATTCCCCTATCCTCCATTATTGCCCAAACACCTGAAATTAAGAGGAGGGTCGAACCCCAAGCACGAATAGTACGCCATAACTGCACCTTGAAATTCCCCTTGTCGGCAGAAGCCATGTGTATAGGAGCACTTGCAGTACCAAGAACTCCATCTTTTGAAGATTTTCCAACATTTTTAAGAGATGCAAATGCTCTGATACTTTCTTCCTCCGCGTGTGAGCTAGCAGCTCCACACATTCCTGTAACAAGTCCAAACGTTAGTATAGATTAACAAACATAATCTTGTTTTCGGGAAGAATTTCGAAAATCGGGCCAAGTATTTGCCTTATCTACTCACCAATGTGCAATGTCTTGAGAAGCTCACTTTCATCAAGGCGGTCAACCTTAACTAAAGCCTTGACATATTCAGCAAGAGCTGATTGGTTGTAATGTAGTGAAGGATGACTTTCGAACAATCTTATCACTGCTTCCGGATCATTCCGGTAATAGAGCTCCTTGAGATATGCAGCATCGCTCGTTCGGTCATTATAGCGCGGTCTACGAGATAGACCACCGAAATATCTTGATCCACCGAGGGGTCTTGTCCCGACAGTACTTGGAAGCCTGTGGGCTAAAGAAGAAAAAAAACTGAAGATTAAGGTGATGCTGCAGAAGAACACGAAAAGTATAACTGAACAAAAACCTGCTGCAAATAAAAAACTCGTCGTACTTTTATCCTAAACCTAGCATTATGGTAACATGAAAAATCTCCGAGTGCAAGCAATGTACCCAGAAGACACGAAGAACAATAAAAAATTTCATCATAAAAGAAAGTTTGATGATTATGCATCGAACATCTATCACCATTAAATCATGTTTCCGTTGAACAATAATACGTCATCAACTAACAAATCAAGGAAAAAAGCCGATAAGGCGGCGTGCTCGGGGTTAACGAAAAATGCATACCGTCTCTTCTAGCATATGATGGTGAATAACTTAATTGCCTCAACTGTGAGTCCTTCCTTCTGACCTACAACCCCACACCATAACCATTAATTCAGAGAGGCTTACGATCAATAACCATTTCGATGAAATACGATACGCAAGCCTAATAAACCCTAATTTCGCTGATCATTAAATAAATAAATTATAAACAAAAAAAAAAAAAAAAAAAAACAACAATGTTTGATCTTCAATTACAGTCAAGACAAGCAGAATTAACCGATAAATCTATCCCCTCCAACAATCCACAAAAAAAAATTATACTAAATTTTTTTTTTTCGAGTGAGAACTAATTAAGCAAACGTAGACGCTGCTGCATTGCAGTGATGAACTAATCTCGTACAGTACGGTATTGTGTATTAATCGATGAAGGTTTTGTAACTCACCTCACTGAGAAGACGCCTCAAAGCCATATTTTTCTCCAGTATCTGTATATGTTTCTCTGCATCTGCAAATTTTGGGAATTCGTCAAGGCGGAGAGAGAAATAGAGAGAGAGAAGAAAGGAGGGGAGAGAGAAAGCTCTGGACCCGACCCGGGAACCCGTCGGGTGAAACCGGTTTTGCATGTTCGCCCGAAAATGCTTAAAATGAGGTCAAACTTCCTAACCATTGGGTCAAATCAATTTATTGAAATATATATATATATATTGAAAAAACACATTGTAAAATATAATAATTGTTATATATGTTGAATAAATTATTAATTGCCACATTATTATTATTAAATAAATTACTAACAAATGTAATATTATAAATATTGATAAATATCAAGAATCGCGGTTCAATATCCTCACAATGTCACACATTTGTCATTAATTATCATATTTAATATTATAAATATTAATAATCTCCACTACTAAAAAAATTGTAAAAATCGACTCAATTAAATATAAAAAGATGCATGACTTAATACAAGCTCATTAATGTTATTAATCACTAGTGTGACAAGTCTAAATACAATGTTTATTTAGGAAAAAAAAAAACCAAATAGTTATCACTCATTTCAATTAATTTTCTTACTTTATCTCAGAAAATAAATTAATTTTATTACTTTAAAATAAAACTATACATGAGATATTAAAGAGCTAGAATCATAATACTATTTGGAATTTTCTTTTAATACTTAGTTTAATTAAATAGTAAGATTTGGATTGGTTATCAATTAATTTTCTTACTTTATCTCAGAAAATAAAACTATACATGAGATATTAAAGAGCTAGAATCATAATACTATTTGGAATTTTCTTTTAATACTTAGTTTAATTAAATAGTAAGATTTGGATTGGTTAAGCTTAAGCCGTTTCAATTAGTTAACCTTATTCAATATTTTGAATCAATTAACCTTAATTATGAAGAGAATGTACCAAACGAATTATCAATTTATAATTAAAGTTTAGTATTTTTTAATTGAATTTTATCATAAAAAAATAAAAATAATTAATTTATAAAAAATGTAAGAATTAAATTTTTAGTTTTACATTTACAATTTATTCAAATAATTGAATCTAATTTACCTTTTTTTTTAATTTAAAAAAAATAAAAATAAAAATTGAAAAATCCAATTCAGACCGGGACCCGGCCTGGACTCGTCGGGACCCGCCCGGACGTCGCCTCGCCTCGTCGTTAACTGTATATTACTAATCATTGACTGACTAGTTCGACATAAACAAAAAAAAAAAAAAAAAAAAAAGTTCTAACCGATCTTTTAAGGTCACATAAATTACAAGCAAAATAAAAAAAAATTGCAAGTGAACTCACTGACGTTTATTTCTACAAACTTCTATTCATATATAAACTTACACAAAATAATACTCCCCATTGGCAAAGTATATAATCTTAAAACAGGCTTCTTCTGCATGTAAAACAAACTTACCTTATACACATCACAAAAACCGCCCATCAAGATCCAACGGGGGCAGCCACCCCCTTCCCCTTCGCCACGGCCGTTGCAGCAGCCACGGCAGCAGCAGCAGCAGCATTCGGCGGCGGGGGGTGGGCAATAATCTGTTGCTTCTCAGGCTGCTGTGTTTCCCTCTGCGCAAGAAGGGCCTTAATCTGACTCCCCGTGAGAGTCTCCTTCTCGAGCAAAGCATTCGCGAGCGCATGAAGCTCCTTATTGTGCACCGTCAGAATCGTCTTTGCATTATTATACGCAGTCTCCAACAACTCCCTCACTTCTTGCTCAATAAGCAAACGAGTCTCCGTGCTCATGCTCTTACCATTGTCATCGTAGTTGTGGGCCACCACACCCACATTTTTACTCATACCATATTTAGTGACCATCGCTCGAGCAAGGCTAGTGGCTTGCTGGAGGTCGTTCGACGCTCCAGAAGTCACTTCCGGTTCACCGAAGATCAACTCTTCGGCGACCCGCCCGCCCATACAAACATTCAAACGGGCGAGCATTTGTTTACGAGATATACTCGTTTCGTCTTTATCTGGTAATTGGGAGACCATACCTAGGGCCATGCCACGCGGCACAATGGTGGCCTTGTGAACGGGAAGGGCGCCGTCGGTGTGTATTGCCACGAGGGCATGGCCGCCCTCGTGGTAGGCGGTGAGCTTGCGGGACTCGGGGGAGATTACGGCGGACTTGCGCTCGCTGCCCATCATTATTTTGTCCTTTGCGTGCTCGAGGTCTTCCATATTGACTGATTTGGAGCCGTCCATTGCGGCTTTGAGGGCGGCAACGTTGACTAGGTTTGCCAGGTCAGCGCCGGAGAAGCCAGGTGTTCCTCGAGCGATGATTGAGAGATCCACGTCCTCTGCTTTGAGAACCTGCAAAAGGTTGCGTGGTGGGGTTTGGCACATTCAAACTCCAATTAATGGTATACACCCAATGCTCTAAAATACTTCACATATCAAAAATTATAGGCCTCGTTTGGTTAGTCCAATAACTTTCCGAGCCAACCCAAAATTGTGGACAAAATGGCTCTAATCTTGGCTAATTGGAAGATTATCTATTGGACCTACCATGATCTAACAATACAATTATATTTTTATTAATCTTATATTGAGAGCCAAACGAGGCCTTAAGCTACTCAAATAGTCAAATAATAAACAAATATATTTGTCCTAGATGCAGCAAATTACCTTCGACATGTGAACTTCCAATATCTGCCTCCTCCCTTCAACATCGGGATTCGGAACAACAATATGCCGATCGAACCTTCCAGGTCTCACGAGCGCCTTATCAAGCGACTCGGGAAAATTAGTTGCTGCAATTACGATAATACCCTCGTTCTGTTTAAATCCATCGAGTTCCACAAGCAACTGATTTAAAGTCATCTTCATATACTGCTGATCTTTAGGATTACGGCTTCCTCCTATGGCATCAATCTCGTCTATAAATATTATACAGGGTGACCTCTTTTTAGCTGCAGCAAAGAGATCTCTCACTCTACGTGCTCCAACACCGACAAACATTTCTTCGAATTCACTGCCGCTGCATGAGAAGAAAGGTACACCTGCCTCTCCAGCTATGGCTCTTGCTAACATAGTTTTTCCAGTGCCAGGTGGACCGACTAGAAGAACGCCTTTTGGAAGCTTGCCACCTAGGCGAGTAAATCGCTGCGATTTTTACAAGATGTGTATCGTGAGAATCCAAGTATATTGATAACTTAATAGAATCTGTCTTAGTGTTGGTGAAGTGTAAGAAATTTTTTTCAGTCTGATTTGAAAAGCCTAACAAACATAAATTAATGTTTTTGGGAAGAGCAAGAAGGATTTTGGAAAGGGGATCAAACAAAGCCTAAACAACAAATTTGGTTATTATGGACAAAAATTGCCTAAACAACAAATTTGGTTATTATGGACAAAAATTGCCAAAAACAAACATAACAAGTGAAATAAAGAAATAAATCTCATTTAACATTATGTATCGAATAATTATTTATTAAGAGCTCGTTTAGCTAAGCTTATTTTAAATTGATAAACTCTTACATCTGATAAGTTGTTTTAAGGGTTGATAAGCTGTTGCGTCTTATTTTTAGAGATATTTTTTTAAGTGTTTGGATAATAAGCTTATAACTTTGTTTTACTGTTGTTAAGATCTTAAATAAAAAGGTGGGGTATAGGTACTTTTAAAAAAAAATCTTATAAACTATCCAACAACTTATCTTTTTGAATTTTTAAGATATTACAAAAAAAATACCAAACACTTTGGAAGAGCTTGTAAGCTATTAAACATCTTATAAGCGTTTTTTACACCTTATATGCTTAGCCAAACACCCTCTAAATAAGGTTTGATAGTGAATATGTTATTTTTTCACTTCTATAGTGAGTGTCTATGAGATAGAAAAGATTATAAAATAGTAGACTCCATTGTGTAGTTACCTTAGGATCACGAAGGTAGTGAACAATTTCCTCCAGCTCAGACTTCGCCTCGTCAACTCCCTTCACATCACTAAATTTCGTATTAGATTCCATACTCGGTTGCACTTCTTCATGTAAACCAAGCCCTGCTAAGAGAAGGCAATGAAGATATAAGTATAATTCTTCTTATTCGGCCAGATATTTCAACTGAATCATATCGCACGTTATAAAGAGACGAAAAAACCCGAAAGGTATGTCATTTACCTTTACCAATTCCTCTATCCTCGATCAATGCCCCAACACCTGAAATTAAGAGGAAGGCCAAACCCAAAGCACGAACCGTGCGCCATAACTGCTCCTTGAAATTCCCCCCTTCGGCAGACACCATGTGTATAGGAGCACTTGCAGTACCAAGAACTCCATCTTTCGAAGATTTTCCGACATTTCTAATAGCTGCAAATGCTCCGATACTTTCTTCCTCCGCATGTGAGCTACCAGCTCCAGACATTCCTGTAATAAGTCCAAACGTTAGTACCGATTTATATTTTGGGAATCCAAACCAACAAAGTAGTTTTTATTTTCATTTTTTTCAAGGAAACATGTCTTGAGAGAAAAGATTTTGAGAAAGGAAGTAATTTGGTTCGTATTTTGAAAAGAGACAATTTACACCTTTGCAGGAACCAAATCATGTCAAATGATATCGGAGGAAATTGGAAGGTATTTTGGAACAAGGAATAATAATCGTGGTAGTAAAACCATGTTCGAAGGATAGAGGAACTTTTGAAAAAAAATTCCCAAAACTTTTTGAAGTCAAATTTTGAAATGTTTAACAAAACATAATCTAATTTTGGGGAAAATTTTCGAAATCGGCAAAAAACATACTCACCTTTGTGCAATGTCTTGAGCAGCTCACTTTCATCGAGGCGATCAACCTTAACCAAAGCCTTGACATATTCAGCAAGAGCTGATGGGTTGGAATGTAGTGAAGGTTGACTTTCGAACAATCTTATCACTGCTTCCGGATCATTCCGGTAATAGAGCTCCTTAAGATATGCAGCATCGCTCGTTCGGTCACTATCGCGCAATCTACGAGATAGACCACCAAAATATCTTGATCCTCCGAGGGGTTTTGTTCCAACAGCACTTGGAAGCCTGTGGGCTAAATAATAAGAAGACCGAAGATTAAGGTGATGCTGTAGAAGAATATGAAAAGTATATAATTGAATAAAAACGGCTGCAAACAGAAAAGTTTAAATCAATGAATCCAATATAAGAAATTTAGGTCTGCCAAACGATTGAAGTTATAACATATACAATATTTTTGTTCGAACTAGATTAAAACATTAAAAGTTCAAACAAGAAAGCTTCATGATTATGAATTGGACATCTATACACCATTTGATCGTGTTCCATCGAACATACGGAAAATATATATATACATCAGCAAAATAATTCATCAACCAACGAAACAAGGAAAAAGCCCAACTGTGAAAAATTAGTCAAGGAAAAAACCGTGGCAGTCAATGAAAGGTGCATACCAGCTCCTCTAGCATATGGTGAAACTCGATAAGATTGAGCAGCCAGATAGCTTAACTGCTTCAACTGTGATTCCTGCCTTTTGACCTACAATAATCCGCAAATCATAATAAACCACAAACACTGATAGAGTATCGAATTTTGAAGGCTTACAGTCAAAAAGCATATTAATGAAATTTTATGAGAAAAGGAGTTTATAACAATGCAATCTTCTAATCCATAACCTAATAAACCCTGATTTTCGCTGATTATTAAAAAAAAAAAAAAACAAACAAACTATCTTTCATCTTCAATTAGAGTCAAAACCAGCAGAATTAACCCATATACTTGTCCCTTCAACAATCCCCAAATAATTGTATTAATTTATTTAACAGTAAGAACTAAATAACTCCAAAATTAGGGCTTTTGCAAACGATAAACATTGCATTGCACAGTAATAATCTCGCAAAAAATCCCAAATCTCTATAGGGAAACAAAATATACATATGCGATTGTATTAATCGATGAAGGTTTTTTTAACTCACCTCACCGAGAAGACGCCTCAAAGCCATATTTTTCTCCTAGAGTGGCACAAAAAATTAGGGGAAAAAATTAGTAAAGAAAGATCTTTCGGTCAATTAAAATACCCTGTGTATAAAACTATTTGTGTATGTTACTATGCATCTGCAAATTTTGGGAATTTCTGAGGGCAAAAGGGAGAGAAGGTCGTCTGGGGAAGACGGAGGAGGAGAGAGATTAGAGAGAGAAAGCTCTGGACAGAGAATAGAGATTTTTCAGTTTTCGTTCGGGAATAATTAATTACTTAAATGAATTTTGGACGAAAAATAAATAAATTAAATATAGTGAAAATAAATATACGTATCCTAAATTATATATATGTTTATGTAGCATATTTATAAATATACTCTCTATAATTTTAATATTTATATATTTCCCTCGGCCTCCCGTATTTGTATTTCCCGATTTTCAGATATTATGTTTTCTCTTGCATTAAAAGGCGAAATCCCTTGCCCCCAGGGCCCCATCCCTTGGCCCGACAAGTATTTGATGGAGGAATGTAAATCATGGTAACTCAACGGCTCGTTAAGGTAGCTGACCCGGATCTGGTGCCCACAAGGAACCAACTCATTGGAGTTGAAATTATGAATGTATCCTTATGTTTTCTCGTATCGTCGTTTCTGTGTATGCTGCATAAAAAATTATAGTAATCGGACTCGAGGGCAAAAAAAGCCTACATTGATATTTACATTGCTTCTATCTTGGACCGGCCCAAATTGGATCATGGGTTAATTATTCACTTTAATATATGTAACGGGCCACATAACGGCAACACGACGAAATAGGGAAACGGATATGGGATATCTCATTTTCTAGAAAGTTGGATACGGCAATGTGGGAAAATGTGTAGTTATTGAAAACATAAGGATACATTCATAATTTCTAAAAAATATTAGTTACATATTTGTATCCACAGGTTATATATAATTTACAAGTTTCAATCTGGATTATCATTCTACAAATTACATTCGGGGCATATAAATCTACAAAAAATATTAAAACACCACTAGAAGTGAAAAAGAGGTATACAATTTAAGATTTTTTTTAAGCTTTAGGCAATTCTGAGTATTTACTTAAAATGGTTTTTCGATTTTTATTTTTTTGCTGGAACTCGTTTCCATTTTTCATTATTACTACAAATATCCCGGAAATTTTAAAATATTTACAGAAACAGCCTCGAAACATTTCCAACATGTGCCATTTCATTTCGGTTTTCAAAATATTTCCAAAATATGGAAACACGTGTGTATAAAAGTTCCCAAAACATGAAATCATCTAATTAATGTGGATAATTTGTACAGTAGAACCTCGATTAAATAATAGTTTCTCACGATTGAAAACGTGTTAAATTATTAACTCGATAATTTAATAATTCGTTAAATTAATAGAATTTTCCTAGTCTCAACTGTATTAATTTGTAGAACTGTATTAATTTTTTTTTATTTTTTTAATTATTTATTTATTTGTTATATTTTTGTTGAGTGACAACATATTCTGGTAAATACACAGTCACACACAAATGTATGCTTTCTTAAACAAATATACTTTCTGTTTCATCTATTCAATCTTTTATGACTAAATACTGTTTGTTTATTGCTGCAAGTTGCATTGGCTATTTGGCTTTACTGATAAATCTCAGGAGGGAAATTAAAAAAAAAACATAATAAAATAATAAATAGAAATATATTTTCACTATCTCCATTGAACTACTATTCTGCAATTTTTTTCTTTTACAGAAATGGAGAGATCTGTGATAAGGGTAGTGTTATTACATATTATTTTGACAAGTTATGGAGTTCGATCAGTACGAGGTTCTTACAAACATAGAAACATTCAAGAAGAAGAACAACCCAATCAAGAACAGCCTTACAGAACTGGGTTCCATTTTCAACCCCCAAAGAACTGGATAAATGGTATGTATTCTCTTTTTTTTTTTTTCTTTTTTTCTTTTTTAATTCCCTCACACAAATTTTTTATTTTATTATTCACATAATTTTTTTCTTGATTTTGTTGCTATTTATACTAAAATAGAAATCGTGTTTCTTTTTTGGCTGCTGGCATTTCTGTTGATGGAAATTAAATGACGATTCTTTGCCTATGAACACTTGAAGATCCAAATGGTAAAGTTTCCCACAATTTATTTATTGCAAAATGGTAGGTTATGTTAAATTAAGAAATAACCCCTTCATGTTTGGGTAATTACAATTATTCCCCTCAACTATGAATCTTCTTACACGTCCACGTTACGATGTCAAATTCAACATAATTTTTTAGATTCTACGGAATGCTCTTTAGATTATACTCGTTTTGTGCAAAAAATGATGTTTTTGTTGCAGCACAATCTGATATTTACAAGCCAAGAGACACGTATTACGATTATCTTGTTTCAAAATGAGGAACTCGAATAGGGTCAAACGGATAGAAACTGGAGAATAATCCACATAATCTAGAAGATTCTACTAAATTTTGCAGTAAATTTGACACTGCAAGTATGGACGTGTAAGAAGATTCGTAATCGAGAGGTGGTTGTAATTACCCAAACATGAGGGAGGCTTTCGTAATTTGACCTTACTTCAGGGGTGAGGTTTTTGAAACTCATTTTTCTGGGACTCTTCGCAAATTTTATCTCCTAAAGCATAGACAAATATGTTTGTTATAAGTTATAACATTAATTTTAATTCCTTAGTTAAAAATGTTCTTGTTTTTGCTTATGTATGTGTGTGTATATATATCCTTTTGTGGATTCTTGATTCTTCACAATATATAGGACCAATGTACTACAATGGTGTATACCACCTCTTCTACCAATACAATCCATATGCTGCAATATGGGGGAACATATCATGGGCCCACTCGGTCTCCTACAATCTCATCGATTGGATTCATCTCGAGCCCGCCATGATTCCGTCCGAGCCGTACGATATCGGAGGCTGTTGGTCCGGTTCCGTCACAATTCTACCACCGGAGGAAAATCCCGTCATTCTTTACACCGGCGACACTTTCTCCGGCCAACAAGTACAAAATCTTGCAACCCCAAAGAATTTATCCGACCCCTTTTTAGTCGAATGGGTGAAATCCCCACACAACCCTCTTATGGTTCCTTATGATGATATTGATCCAAATTTCTTTCGAGATCCGACCACCGCATGGCGGAAATCGGATAATAAAACGTGGTGTGTGATTGTCGGGAATCAAGATAGTGATGGTTTTGGAGCTGCGATCTTGTACACGAGCGATGATTTTGTTAGTTGGAGAAGGAGTGATAAGCCGTTGCATTTTTCGGGAAAAACTAAAATGTGGGAGTGTCCCGATTTTTATCCGGTTATTAATGGCGGAAAAAACGGGGTCGATACTTCTGTGATCAATGGTGTTGGTGTTATGCATGTTTTGAAGGCGAGTTTTAACGACCATGATTATTATGTGATTGGGAATTACGACGAGAATCGAGATGGATTTAGTGTTCTTGATGATGTGGATTTTATGGATGACGAAGTGCAGTTGAGATACGATTACGGTGTTTTTTACGCGTCGAAAACGTTTTACGACGAGGCGAAAAAACGGAGGGTTTTGTGGGGGTGGGTGATGGAGGCCGATAGTCAATCGGATGATGTTGGAAAAGGATGGTCCGGCCTTCAGGTAAATAATCTAATAAGTTGTTCTTGATTTTCGAAAAAAATAAATATTATTTCTTTATTTATTTTTTTGTTTCTTGTAATAATCTTTGCAGTCGATGCCGAGGAGTATATTGTTGGATACAAATGGGAAGCAATTGATACAGTGGCCTATTGAAGAAGTTGAAGAGCTTCGTGGTAAAAAAGTTGCTTTAGAGAATAAAGAGCTTACGAGTGGGACACTATTCGAAATTTCGGGACTCACAGCTTCACAGGTGATTATTTACTTCTCAATCTTGATTTGTATATATGTATCTAAGGCTTTGTTTGGTTGTAAGTATATGTCACGATTAATTAGATATCGGGTCTTGTTTGGTGCTTGGTCAACCCGATGTCGTTTTTCCTACCACCCTTTGTATTGACTTATTTGAAATTGTTGGAACCCCTAGTCGAACTATACAGTTAGGCCTCGATTAGCCTTGATTAAATAAATAATTGGACTTTGTTTGATGTTTGGTATACTCGATAATTTTCCGGGTCGACCCAGAAAAAAATTATTTTATCTTGGCCTATCTTTCCCTTTTAGGAAGATTATTTATTGGACCTCTCGTTGTCTGTTTTCATTTGATTATTTAATCTTATCTTGGCTAGTTTTACCATAGAAGCCAAAGGGGGCCTTACTTTCGCCTTAATGAGATTGCAATTATCTTATCTCGACGAATTCTGATTCATCTGCTCTATATATGTAATAGGCTGACGTAGAGGTATCATTCCGTTTACCGAATTTAGAGGGCGTTGATTCGATTGACGAAAAATCGTTCGATCCTCAACTTCTCTGCAGACAAATGGATGCATCGGTTAAAGGTGTTTTCGGTCCTTTCGGTTTGCTTGTTTTGGCTTCGGAGGATTTAACAGAAAAAACCGCCGTATTTTTTCGGATACTCAAACGTAATGAAAAGTATGTTGTGCTTATGTGCAGCGATCAAAGCAGGTATAATAAATACACACATGTTTAGATTTCTCGATCCACGGCCGAGATTTATCGAATGATCACTTAAATATTTTCCAACAGATCTTCGATAAAAACACACGTGAAAGATGCAATCTTTGGGTCGTTTCTTGACGTAGATCTTAATCAAGAGATTTCACTACGAACCCTGGTATGTGGCTTATTATGAGTTCATTTCGTTACTTTTACGAAACATTTTACACACACCCACATGTATACGTGTTTCCACATTTACCGACCGAAACGAAGACTTATTATACACGAAAACTGAAAACTGAAAACTATATACACTGTTGCCATATGTGCAGATAGACCATTCGATAGTCGAGAGTTTTGGCGGGAAAGGAAAGAGTTGCATTACGGCTAGAGTATATCCGAAGTTAGCCGTTTTCGAAAACTCCCACGTTTACGCATTTAACAACGGCACGACGAGTGTTACTATCCCGAGGCTTAGTGGCTGGAGTATGAAGAAAGCTCAAATTGCAGAGCTTGATAAAAGAAGAAAGCCCACATTCACTTGAGAGGAAAAAAAAAAGAAAAAAGAAAACACCACAAAGTCGCGTGTGTAACACGCGCTATATTCTTTATTGGGCTTTCCTGTGTTTATTAAGTTAGTTTGACTAAGAAACAGACTATTGGTAATTTTGGCCCAAGATTATGTAATTGTTTAAGGCCCATAAATGATGAAAAAAAATAATAATAATTACTTGTCAAAGTTACGAGTTTTCGTCGATTTCACATTCAGTCCTCATGTTTCAAAAACTCCACATTTTTAGTCATTTCTGTTAATTTTCGGTTAGTACTAACGGAATCAAACGTGTGACCATCATCACTGTCTTAAGTTACAGACTAAATTTGTTTACGGTAAATTGACGAAAATGACCGAAAGTGTTAAACTATTGAAATACGAGGGACCAAATTTGTTTCCTTATGAACATGGAGAACCAAATATGGAATTAGTGTAAACTTGAGGAATGGAAACTGTAATTTTCCCCCTTAATTTATCACTGTTATCAGGATGAAGGCTGAACAAGAAAAATAATAATTATAAATAAACATTAAATATAGGAAAAATAATTTAATGAAAATAGAGGGAGTATAATTAAATAAAGAAATCAACTTTTATTTAGCTTTTGCTTACTACAATAAAAAAACATATAATAATTAAAAAAGAAAATCAAAATAACAGTCCTCCAAGAACACAACTCTTGCCCGTGAAGGGTTTGAACTCTTTTTTCACTCCCTCTTTCCCGCTTCTTTTCTTCTCCTCTTCCATCGCAATCTCCGACAACAATTTCGCCACCACCGCCACCGTAGTCTTCCCACCCAATCGCCGCCCCTCTCCGGTAAAGGGCCTAAACCCCTTCCCTTCTTCTCTCTCCTTATCTTCAACACGACCAACTTTCTCGATCGAACGACAACCGTCCGATCGAGGCTCCACGTAATATTCCAACGACGGCGCAAACTCCACCTCACAATCAGTATCAATCAACGTAATCACATCACCCGGACTCACCTCCAAGACATCAAAATAGAAATCCACGTGATTGTACTTTATCACGATCGTACTCCCACGCCCCAAGCACGTGAATTCCCTAAGCACCTTTTCCAAAACAACCCTCGGGTCCGCAAGCTCGGTGAACGCCGTCTTGTGGGGCCGCAGCTTCATGTAGTGCCCTTTCGATACATTGGATGCGTTGCTCACGACGATGGATTCGCCCTCTTGAATGTTCAGATTCTGCATCGTCCACTCTGGCAAATAGACGTTCCCTTCTTCCGCATCGAATTCCATCACCCCCGAGTAGGAGATTGCGTTGGTTTTGTAACTTTGGAGCTTGAAAACTTGAGGGTATTGGATTCTATTGTAGAGAATTAGCGAAAACGACGATGGCGGTAAGATGATCTTATCGCCGGTTTCGAGATGCGAATTTTTGTATCGCTTGATCGGAAAGCAACGGAGTACTTCTTGGAAAAGAGGTCGGGGTTCGGGACTTGATTCCCATTGGCTATTATTGGATGATTTCCACGCCATTGTTGAATGTTCTTGAAATAAATTGAATAAATGAATTCCCAAAAGGAAGACGAATAAATAATGGTGTGTTTATGTGAAGGGATCTCGCATGTTTATATAGGGGATAGTTCTAGTTTGAGTTCAATAAGGAAGGTGTTATTTTTCGAAATAAAACTACTACTACTACTATGAAAAGATTTTAAGTTGTCTCTAAAATAATGATTCTCTACAATAATTATATATATATATATATATATATATATATATATATATATATATATATATATATATATATATATATATATATATATACTCACACATATTAGTGTTCGAAAAATCAACGAGAAGGCTGATTAATCGGCCGTCGAGACGGAGGCGGACCCAAACATTTACGATTTTGGTGTAAATGTTTGAAAAATCGATATTTAGCATATGAGACGGTTTGAGCTTTTCTGAGGCATTTTAAAGCTAGTCAAACATATGGATAAATTTGTTCAAAAAAAAAAAACCTTATGGATAAAAATCGGCCAAAAATCACTCTTTCAAAATTCAAACAGACTGTTCTACAATAAAATAGCCAAATCGACAGCGTCGCTCTACGAATCGACGGAGATATAATCATGTTCTACAAACAAATTATATAGAAATATACTACACTAAATTTGAAAAACGGTCTATTTATCGCTAATTAATAATTACCCGTTCTAACCCGACTCGTGCTTTTTCGAAAATACATTTCTTAATAAATACCTTGATATATATATATATATATATATATATATATATATATATATATATATATAAAGATTTGTAACCAAGCAATAATATAAATTGAGGATAAGAAGGTATATAGTAGCATGAAATTCCAATTTGAATTACATGGGCAATTTGGAGCCACACATACAAACACACTTCCTTTTACCCTCTGCAAAAATGCAAGCTAACAAAAACACAAAACAAACACGATAATGGCTTCCTCCTCCGCCGCAACCACCACCACCGCACTCTTCGTCCCTCTCTCCACTCCTCGCCGCCTCTCCATTACTAAAATCCAACCTACATTCCTCAAAAAACCCCTCCACCACCGCCCAATCAGAACCCTAACCGCCACCGCCCCCATCAAATCAGTCGACGTCTCCAAAGAGGAGGAGCAGCCGCTGTCATTACCGGAGGAGGAGAATACAATCGACAAGAGGAGGCTGGAGGAGAAGTTCGCCGTGGTGAACACGGGGGTGTACGAGTGCAGATCATGCGGCTACAATTACAACCAATCGAGCGGCGATCCGTCTTATCCGATCCCGCCGGGGCTCCCCTTCGACAGACTCCCCGAGGATTGGCGGTGCCCCACCTGCGGCGCGTCGCAGAGCTTTTTCCAGAGTAAGAGCTTGGAGATCGCCGGCTTTGCCGCGAATCAGCAGTTTGGATTGGGCGGCAACACGCTCACCTCCGGCCAGAAGGCCTTGCTTATCTACGGCGGCTTGCTGTTAGGGTTTGCTCTTTTCCTGTCTGGCTATTTTCTTCAATAGTTGATTTTCATTGTTAACAGATGCTGCCATGGCAAATTTTCTTCATTGTGTTATATAAAAATGGATGCAATTTTTCATTTGTTCAGTGTTTGTATATTTCTGGAGATGAGTAATTTCTGACTATTTTAACCTTTTTGTAGTTATATATATTGTGTTGCAAATTCATCTAGTATATACTTGCAAGATTCATAGCAAGCAAAATCGGGGGTAATTTTTTTATTAATGTAATTCGGTTATTTATCGAACCAAATCGTATATTCAGTTCGGTAAACGATATGAAATGTTGGCGTACCGAAATTTCGGTTCGGTTTTACCTATTTAACATCCCTATATTTACCTCTGGAGGGGTATTTTCGTTTCGTAAGATAATACATAGTTGAGGGAGGTGGCTGTAATTACCCAAACATAAAGGGGGTTTTCGTAATTTACCCATAATTATATATACATATATATGTCTAAAATGTTATATCTACGATGTGGCGAGAAAAGAAACGAAGAATGTGGGGTTGGGTGATCGAGGGTGATAGTATAGGAATCTGATGTCGATAAAGGATGATCGGGTAAGTATTGGTTGTTCTTATTATCCTTAAATCGGACAAAATTATATAAAGCTATACTTAATACTGACGGAAGAGTGCGCTTCCTTTTTGTTTGTTTGTTTCTTGTAATGATCTTTGCAGTTGGATTTCAAGAAGATCGAGTGTCGGGATGTGTTCGAAGAAGTTGCAGGAATCGCAGCTTCATTACTCACAAGTAATCACTTCTGAAATCTCGATTTTATATATCTTTGTATTGTATCTTGGTCTCTGTTAGATTGCACGGATATGTTCGTGATTAGTAGAATTACCGGGTTTTATTTGGTGTTTGATTAATGCAATAACTTCATCTCTTATCATCTTTTAATTTATCTCGACTTGTTTATGAAACTGTTTATTGAACCTCCTAGTTCAACTATACAACCGGGCCCCACTGCGGGAACAAAACGAGGCCGTTTATACTATCTAAAATCCGTATCATCCGTTTGGTTTGCTAGTCGTGTGCTTATATGCAGCGATAACTGATCAAAGCAGGTATATGGTATTTACGTATGTATATTCACCGCTGTTGGTGTGTGTTTGTGCATGTACGATGCCTTTTACCGTGTGCCAGATGCACCTGTGGATATTAGAGAGTTTTGGACCTCAATTATTAAAACTAATTACTATTTTTTTTCAATTAACTTAATTTTTATTAGACAAAAAAAAAAAAAAATCTACCAAACATGTGCGAAAAATAATATACTAAACACGATAATGAATTGAAATAAAAATTCAATCTTGATAAACCAAATCAACTTGCTGGAAAGAAATATAGAACACAATCATCCTACTGAAGAAGTAAATACAAATAAATAAATAAAAAGAAGTCAAAATTGTGGTACTCCAAGAACACGACTCTTGCCCGTGAAGGTTTTGAACTTTTCTTTTACTTCCTCTTTCCCGCTTTTTTTCTTCTTCTCGTCGATCACCACTTCCGACAACAATTCCGCCACCGCCGCCACCGGATTCTTTCCATCCAGACGCCGCCCCTTTCCGATGAAGGGCCTAAACTCCTTTCCTTCCTCCTCCTTTGGCTCTTTACCACGGTCAATTTTCTTGATTGAATCTCCACCGTCCGGTTGAGGCTCCACATAATCCAACGGCGGCACGAATTCCACCTCGCAGTCGGTATCAATCAACGTAATAACATCACCCGGATTCACCTCCAAAACGTCAAAGTAGAAATCCACTCGATTGTACTTTATGGCGATCGTGCTCCCCTTGCCCAAACACGTGAACTCCCTAAGCACCTTTTCCAGAACCGCCCTCGGGGTCGCTCAGCTCGGTGAACGCCTTTGTGTGGGGGCTGGGAGTTCATGTAAAACCCTTTCAATACGTTGGGACGCGTTGCTCACAACTATATTATCTCCCTCCTTCGATCCAAGATCCTGAAACCTTCCACCCCCGGCGAAATACGTTTGCCTTCTCCGC